ATATATCTCCAGTTTAGTTAATGTAAAGATTATATATCTCCAGTTCAAATAACGTGACAAAGGTTATATCACTCAAGTTAAATAAATGTGACAAGTATCATGTTATAAATAACTCAAGTTTAATTAAAGTGATAAAGATCACACCTAAATGTTCAAGTTTAAATTTACAAATATCATATGACTTCATTTTATCATGACAAAAATCACACTACTCCAGTTTAATAAACGTGACAAATATCATGTAACTACAGTTTAATGTGACAAAGATAATGTTCTCCAATTTCAATGGTGTGATAAAGCTTATTTTTCTTCAGTTTATTATTGAAAAAAATGCAAGTCCAATGCAGTATGGCAAATATCCCATTGCTGTGTTTTAATGTGAAAAAGGTTACATTACTTCATTTTTATGTAACAAAGAGAATACTACTCCAGTTTAGTATGACAAAGTCACATTATATCAGATTAATGTGACAAAGCCGTTATTCCATATTATATGTGTTTTGAAATGACATGTGGATAACAGATAGTATAATTATATAACAAAATGGTAATGAATCGTATAAACATCCTTTTTACACGGTTGTATATTTGTTAATGTATATCAATGACAGTCGTTACTGATATGTAGTATACATATATGAAGGCTTGGTGAAGGATGATGCAAAACATATTGCTGTTTTTGCCTTTTACCTGAAAATTCTTCACAAAAACGTTAGGGCTGAACTCAGAATATATCCCTATGGAATGATGGCGATATTTTGACACTTGTACTGAACTCAGAATATATCCCTCTAACATAGGGGGAAGGGCTCTCTGATAACGTTACGGCTGCTATCTAAATTATGTGACGGGCCTCACCACTCATGATGTAACAGCGTAGACCGCATAACAAAAAAGGGCCTTCTAATTAACCATTCTGTCGCACTTTATTCACATCATGTGAGAATCAGACATACAGCTAAGGCACAAAGCGAACAGTTTGTGTCTATTTCCTGCGCATCACGATCTTATCATACCAAGCTGGAAAAAAAGAAAAAGTGCTGGCACTTCCCTATGTTGACTTTTATAAGTAACCCTAATGTTTTATGGTAGTTAGAAAGTAATCTGTAAAATAATCTTACAGTTGATATACTTATGAGCGCATACAAAGAACTGTGTAATATTTGTTGTTCTGTTTTAGAAACTTTGTCCAAGATATAGTGCCAACATGTTACTATTGCTTGTTAACAGAAGCATTTTTCAAAGCCTATTCAAGTTGAAAATGTTAACTTTCAAACAAATCCATTATCAGAAAATAACCTGCTTCATTACGAGTTCCGACAATTCGTTTTATCTTAAAGGACACATTTTCTTTTATTATCATTTAAGAAGTTGTGGTGTTTTAAAAGGGTATCTCGGAACATATACTTCATAAACTATTATACCATTTACCAGACTGCGAATAAGTTCTTGGAATGCAAAGACATAACTTTACTTAATCAATTTGTAATTAGCCAATACTATTTCTAGTTTTTGAAATGCGCATGAATAAGGGGTTTTACGGACCTTCCCTTCCTTTTCAAGACCAATTTGAATTCCCACTTTTTGGCCCCTTGCATCATTGATACAAAGATGAAACCGTTCTATTGCGCCGTGTAATTCATTCTAGACAAACTTGTATCTATTACCAAATTTATAAGTGCATCACCTGCATGTGTCTAAAGTTAATCATTCATGCTCTTAAACTATGACTGTACCTACTTTACTCTGAATGCATAATCACTGTTTAACATATTCCAATGAAGACCTGATTTTACAATCAATATTTGAAAACTAAATAATTTGTTTCATGGAAATGTTCTCCATTGCGGAGATATTCCTTATTGCATGGCATTCTGTTATCCTGATCTAACTCGAATCTAACTAATATGTGTTGACTGTTTCAGAGTGGTACAACCCGTCGTCATGGAAAACACAGACATCGAGGAGAGAAGGATAGGATCGAAACACTACAAGCATAGAGTGTGAATCCTCGCCGCCATATTTGTTTCACGTGAATCCTTGCCGCCAGAGTAACTTCACGTGGACTCTTCATACAACAGCATGTCTTACAGTGTGTTGACATTTGTTTCACCTGCTCGTTAATTAATTGTTAGTTACACAACCCAGTGTTCCTCACCAATTACATATTTCCCATACTCTTTAGTGACAACACATTGTACAAAGAATAACACATAACATTTTTAACTGAAACTATCCTCTTCTGGTTACCGTACTGTCGTGAAATTCAGACGGCTTATTTCAATTAAAGAAGTTTTATCCTCCTGTAAATAAAACATTAAAAACAACAAATACATCACTTTAAAATGCATGAAATCAAATCTGTATACAAGGTTTGGGTTAACTGCTTCATGACTTCGTTAGCCTGTTTGACACACGACCGTACAAGTCGTTCCGGTACTTTATTTCACCCGCCTATTATCTTATTTACGTCCTAATACCTTGGTGTTAAGAGGTTAATCTCAATGCAAGTTGGGGAGAAGAAGATATTCCTAAAACTACTGAAACCAGTTAGTTTAAGAAACTTTCGCAGGTTTAAAAGTTGACCAGGACCAGTTCATTTCTCTTGGAACTGTGTATGTACACACGATTTCTATTACTTGCAGAGACAGAAAGTTCGTTATCATGAATTCACTAGAAGACAGTATAGTAGAGCTTGCTTCGTGTTATTTTATATTCACACTTGTACACACTTTTGTACATCAGAACTGTAGTCAACATGAGTTAATGGTCAGTTTGTTGTAATACATGCATTGTATCGGAGCCGTAGTGTATTGCACGCTAAAGTTCACGTTGCTGTAATAAATACTGTTATCATTCCAATAATCAATATTGTGTTGTTCGTTTTATATTATTCGAATGATTGAATTTAAGGTATCGAATTATAGTAATAAAACACATTCTCATGATTTCATCAATAGCCCTTTTTTCTTGCGCGGATGTATATATATCTACACATATGTTCTGTTCGATTGTGGATATATTCGTACGCAAAATGTATTGGCACTGGTACCATTTGTGTCGTCAAAAAAGAAGTTTGTATGATATTTCCCAATCATCACATTATCATCATTGAACACAGCGAGGGAGTCATCAACATAAAAGTATCACCTCAGAATATTATCCATTGTGACATAAGATTGAAATATCGAAGCATTGTGAGTAAAGTTTTGACATTGAAGGACATGACGTCAAGATGGCGAATTTCAAAGCTAACTGATAGTAAGAGAAAACATATTATCGAAAAGAAAATGCTGGTTATGTGATAAAAAATAAACCTCGCCTTATAGCATATTTAAGACTCGTTTCATATGGTATCGCGTAAAACCCCTTTATCATAGCCCAAAACTGTGGTATCGCGATAAACACATTATTATAGCCCAAAACTGTGGTATCGAGTGAAATACCCTTTATCGTAGCCAAAAACTGCGAAAAACGTAAAACCTTTCATCATAGCCACAAATATGTGGTATCAATTAAAACCCTTAATCATAGCCTCAAGCTGTGGTATCAGGTAAAACCCTTTATCATAGCCAGAAGCTGTGATGTCACGTAAAACCCTTATCATAGCCACAAGCTGTGTTATCACGTACAATCCTTTATCATAGCCACAAGTTGTGATGTTCCGTATAATCCTTATCATGGCCTCAAGCTGTGATGTCACGTAAAACTCTTATCATAGCCACAAGCTCTGGTGTCAAGTAAAACCCTTAATCATAGCAACAAGCTGTGATATCACGTAAAACCCTTATCATTGCCACAAGCTATGGTGTCAAGTAAAACTCTTAATCATAGCCACAAGCTGTGGTATCACGTAAAACACTTTATCATAGCCACAAGCTGTGATGTAACGTAAACCCTTTATCATAGCCACAAACTGTGGTATCACGTAAAACCCTTTATCATAGCCAAAAGCTGTGATGTCACGTAAAACACTTTATC